GATCTTATGAAACTCAACAAAAGCTATTATACTTTGTTAAAAAAAAAAAAAAAAAAAACTGAAGTCAAAGGGAAAATCTTAAAAGCAGCCAGAGAAAAAAGATACATTATCTTTAAATAAACAACAATTAGTTGATAGTCAATAGGAAAAAAAAAAATGAAACCAAAGAAAATGGAGTGGTATCTTTAAAGTGCAGAAAGAAAATAGCCTCCAACTTGGCATATCCATTTAGCAAAAGTATCCTTCAAATATGAAAGAAAAATAAAGAGATATTCATGCAAATACAAACTGAGAACTAATTGCCAAGACCCACACTAAAGTAAGTATTCAAGGGAGTTCTTTAGGTAAAAGGAAATGATTCCAGATGTAAACACAGAAATACAGAACAGAATGAAAGCAAGAAAAGATGGATATGTAGTCAAATTCAAACAATTATCGACTTCATAAAGCAAAAATAATAATATATTGTAGTTTTAAAACATGTGTACAAATAATATAAATGACAGCAATGGGCCAGGCACAGTGGCTCATGCCTATAATCTCAGCACTTTAGGGGGTAAAGGTGTGTGGATCACCTGAGGTCAGGAGTTCAAGACCAGCCCAGCCAACACGGCAAAACCCGTCTCTACTGAAAATACAAAAACTGGCCAGGTGTGGTGGTGCGCACCTATAGTCGCAGCTACTGGGGAGGCTGAGGCAGGAGAATCACTTGAACCCAGGAGGCGGAGGTTGCAGTGAGCCAAGATTGCACCACTGCACCCCACAGTGAGACTCCTAAAAAAAAAAAAAAAAAATGACAGCAATAGCACAAAAAGCAAGGAGGCAAGGAGATTAAGTAGAAATAAAGTGTCCTGACTCTGAAGTCTTGCTATATCATTTACAGTAGATCTAATTGGCCAAGGACACATGTAATCTTAAATTTAACCAATAAAAGAATAGCAAGGATTACCTGAGGTCAGGAGTTTGAGACCAGCCTAGCCAACATGGTGAAACTCTGTCTCTACTAAAAATACAAAAATTAGCTGGGCATGGTGGTAGGCACCTGTAGTCCCAGCTACTTGGGAGGCTGAGGCAGGAGAATCTCTTGAACCCAGGAGGCTGATGTTGCAGTGAGCCAAGAGAACGCCATTGCAGTCCAGCCTGGGCAACAGAGTGACGCTCTCTCTCATTTAAAAAAAAGAAAAAAAAAAGTTTAATTCATTAAAAAGACAAAAATAAGGAGGAACAAAAGGGAACAGAGAACATGGGACAAATGTAAAGGATAAGACAGCATACATATCCCAAATGTCTTAGAATTACATTAAATATGTGAATACACAATAATGCATCTATCCACTTCATCTCTCAAGGAAGTTTCACACATTATGTTTTTGTTATTACAAAAATACACCAACAAAATTGAAAGTGGAATCACTAAAGACTGTACATCTTCCACTTTATCAGGTCTTGCCAAATTGCTTTCCCTCATCATACAACAGCTCTCCTTCACGACATTCTTGCCAATGTTTGGTATCATCAGACTTGAAAAATTTGCCAATCTCATGGGCATGAAATAATGTCTTATAGATTTAATTTGTATTTACTTTACCAAAGGTGAAGTTGAATATCTTTTAAATATTAACCAGGAGGATTTCTTCTTCTATGACTTGACTTCTTTTTTTTT